GATTCATTTTGAAAAAAATAGGGTTAGTAGTGTAGTAATGTCTGGGAGACCTGATGTGGTGCTGTAGGATAAGCACTGGACTGCTAACCACAAGATTGGTGGTTCAAACCCACCATTCACCCACTGGAAACCCTACACAGCGATGGATGTGAGTCAGAACCCACTGCAAGGCACTTAACAGTAACAGCAATAACGTCTGAATTTAATTTACTTTACTCTGAATTGGGTGAAATGAAATAAATATAACAAACTGTTGACAACTGTTAAATTTTGGTGACAGATACATGGGTGTTTCTTATGTTATTTTATTTACCTAGTTGTTGAAAATCTCCATAACAAAAAAAAAAAAAGAGAAAGAAGGCGAAAAATGTCACTCAATCATAAAAACAAAATTCAACAATAGTTGCCAAACAAACAAAAATGATTAGTGTATGTAGTATCCAGGATCCTGAAAGCATCACAGTCCAGAGAAGAAAGACCTCCTTGGGTTGAAGTGGATAAGAAATACTTCCTGGAGGAGGTGGGACTTGGGTGAAGGTAGCTGAAAAGTGCTTTCACAGAACTGAGGAATTCTTAACCACAAAGGGGCTGTAACCATAGCAAAGTCAAGACGGCGGCCAGTTTAAAGACACGTCTCCTCTACCCACTCTCCTCCCACTGTTGGCTGCAGGAGGGGTGCTGGCGAATTTAACCCTAGGAGATGCCAGGCTTCATTGCTTAATTTGGTATTAAAAGTTCACTCACTGTGAATCTGTGGAGTGTACCCAGAGCCTGACCTCCCGCCGTGCACCACTCTAAGCTCCCAGCTGAATAATCAAAGCTAATTACAAACACAAAGGGAAGCTTTTTTGCAAAGAAATGACCCCCAGCTACTTGTTGCACCAGTCGGAGGTCAACTCCGTCCCACTCAATTAGTACTTCCCCCAAGAGATTCAGCGCCCATCCCAACCGCAGGCTCTACTTCCCTCCCCAGCAAAACCACCCAGAAGCATGTGAAAGGCTGAGAGGTTATGTTTTCCTCTCCAGCTCAAAGTTGACCATTTTACTTCACCCTTAAGAACAAATTCGGTGAGTTCACATCAAACAAAATAACAGCGGGATGCATAGTGTTGCCATTTATATAAAGCTCTGACTAATGCAGCTCCTGATTTCCCTTCCAAATTAAATGCATTGCGCTTAGTACATTTTCAGCAGACGTTACTCATCTGCTCGATTAATGAGTTTGCTGTGAAAGCGTACTTTGGTAGCAATTTGAAACAAAAGCACCTTCACGTGACTGAGGCTTCGCTTTCCTGTCTCTCTCCATCTCAGCCTCGCTGCCTCCCTTTCCTTCCCCAGGGCAAATGCATCGCTGATGGGAGGATGGGGAAGCTGGAACCGGCTGTGGGTTTTCTTCTGTGGTACTACACTACATTAGGAATAAAACCTTCCACTTAAACACTTAAATGAAAACATCGAGAAACTAATTTACTATTTGCAATCACATGATTTAAGCCGAAGCTGCCTTAATTTCCTTCCCATTTTGCTTCATATTCAATGTGAGCGCACGCTAGATTGGTCTATGAAAAGACTGTCTTCGAATCACAACACTTAAGACCTCTTTCATTTTCTTTTTGATTAAATAATTGAAATTCCTGTCAGGGCCTGCACTTTACTGGCGCACAGATTTGGTGTGTGAGGATAAAGACCACTTTTTGTTTGCTGCCTGGATATGAAAAGCCAGCGGCCTTTGCTTCATTGAGGGGTTGATAAAATGGACCCATGCTATTCACCCATTTCGCAGAAATTTCCTGCTGCCATTAAGTGATTGTTTGAGACGAATTATGGAAAGCATCTTCTTTCATTTAGCCATCTCATTCATCTGGAGGTTTCTATCTACTGAAAAGAGCACAGCTACATCATTGCCAACTTAATCCATTAGGAAGAGGAGAGAAAGAGCATATATACAAACAGAAAATATGTGCATTTCCCTCCCCGCCCCCCCAAAAAAAATGTGGCAGCAAACCTCATTTGCTTCAGTTAAAGAAACTTATGGAGGTATTAACATTCCATGATGGGTTGTGGCAGAGAAACCCCAGGTTAACAGCATGGCCCATCATGGCCATGGGCCTCTGATATTCGTGTGTTTATGGTAAAATACAAAACAACAACAAAACAGTTAACTTGGACTCATGGCAACTCCATGTGTGTCAGAAGAGAACTGTGGGTTTTAGTAGCTGATTTTTCCATAGATTGCCAGGACTTTCTTCTGAGGTGCATATGGGTGGACCCATCACTCCTATCATTTGGTTAGCAGCCAAGCGCGTTAATCCCCTGCAGGGATTTGGTGCTGTGGATCAGCACTAGACTGCGAACCACGAGGTCAACAGTTCAAACCCACCACCTGCTCCTCGGAAACTCTATACAGGATCTCTATGAGTCTAAACTGACTCAATGGCACTAAACAACAATAAGGTAAGGAATCCTGAAGGGAAGGAAGGAAAGAATATCTTTTCTTTCCAGTCTCTAGTTGATCATCCAATGAACCACTGATTTCATACAACAGCAAGCGGTATTTACTTGCTCTGTCCTTTGATTCCTGTCTGTATAATAACTTTATAGTCTTATATAAACACACATCACACATCCTCTTGCTTGAGGCTCACGTGCAGGCAAATGGAGCCTACAGCTCTGACAGGAGAGAGAAGAGAATTGCCAGATAACCCACAGCCAGGAATAGTGCAAACACAGTCCTGCTTGTCAGTCAAAACAGAGCTATCCTGTAAAGATCACTACTACAACCACAACAAACACACAAACAAACCAGCTGCATTGAGACAGTTCCAGGCACGGCAGCCTATGTGTTGCAGAGTAGAACTCCATAACGTTTTCATGGAGAACTTTCTGAAGCACATCACCAGGCCTTTCTTCCGAGTATCTTTGGGTGGGCTTTAACCACCAACCTTTAGGATAGCAGTCAAGTAGTTAACCCTTTGTGCCACACAGGGATTACTTTAAAGATCCCAGTCAGCTAGAATTCCCTTTCTTTAAAGCAAAACTAACAAACGACACTAATCTAGAATAGGGAAAGCTAGGTATTTCTTTTGTACCTGCTAAATTAGGACGTCCTGGTGTGGTATTGTAGGGTAAGCACTGGACTACTAACCACAAGTTCAAACCCACCAATTGCTCCTCAGAAATCCTATTCAGAATTGCTGAGTCCTGGTATGGTGCTGTGGGTTAATGCACTCACTGGACTGCAAAGTCACTTTGAACCGTAAGGTCGACCATTCAAGCTGCTCCTCAGAAACCCTATACTGGGTTGCTATGGGCCAGAATCGACTCGATGGCACTTAACAACAACATGAGTTGGAACCAACTTGATGGCACTTAACAACAATAACAAATTAGGACAAGGATTCTGGCCTTACAAGATTCACATTAAAGATTCCCATAGACCTAGCTCTACAGCAATAGCTCTAACTCCATTTTGAGATTTGACGTATGCCATTTGAGTTCTTTCTGCTACTCTCACAATGCTTGCTGACCATTAAACCAGTAATGTGGCTATACTTAGACAAGTACAGTATAAGCCCAGTGAGGAGCATTTAGCCCTTAGGTTTACACAAAGAACTAGACAAACTGCCTGGGTGTGTCCTTAGTTGTTTACTGAAAATAGCTGCATGTTACCTAATTTAACTTAAAAAATTGGGGTCATGGTGACTATGACTCAGGGACCCATAATCATAAGTCATACCCTGATCACCATGTAAAAACCCCAGAACCAAACTGTAACCTTTTTTTAAACCTGCAATTGTGTATGTATACCATCATGGCCCTTTCCCTACTTCTGTAGTCCTATCTGCAGCAGTGATGGATTAATCTGCCACCAGTCATGAAGCTCTGGTAGCGTAGTGGTTATGAATCGGGCTGCGAACCTTAAGGTCAGCGGTTCGAAACTACCAGCTGCTCCGCGGGAGAAAGATGAGGCTTTCTACTCCCGTAAGGATTTACACCCTCGGAAACCCTGTATAGGGTCGCTATGGGTCGGAACCGACTCGAAGGCACTTAACAACAACAACAACAACAGTTATGAAGCGGTTCCATAGTGTAGTGGCTATCGCATCTGCTTTACACGCAGAAAGTTCTGGGTTCAAGGCCTAGTGGAACCATCCCATCCAATCATTCCTTTGGACACCTGATGTGGCTCTGTAGGATCAACACTGGACTGTGAACGACAAGGTCAGCAGTTCAAACCCACTAGTCATTCCTTGGAAACCCTATACAGGGTTACCATAAGTCAGATGACAGTTAACAACAGCAATCATGATTTTGTGGTAACTTCCTTTGTTTTGTATTAAATGTATGAAAACCATGGCTATGAGTCAGTGCATTCATCAGCTTTGTATTGAGTTTCCCTGATATGTATGATTGTTTGTTTTGTCTTTGTCCTTGTTTTGTCTTTGTTTCAAGCTTAATAAAGGGTCTCTAGAAAACATATTTGAATCTGGGGTCTTTTTCCTCTCTCACAAAGTGGCAAAGAGGACGAGATACAAAACTGTCTTTCCTGGTGGAACTCTCAAGGATTGAGGATCAGAACAGGCACCAGAGAAGAGTTTTCTTGTTCCATGCCATGGGTCCTAGGGAACCCCATGAAGAAACATTCTTGAACTTGGGGCCCTGTGTTTTGGTGTGGCTCTCAAAGACCTTTTATTAACAATTGCTCTATGTTTTTGTCTGAGAACAATTAACACCTTCTTTCTGGGTTTTTTTTTCCTTTTTGCTGGCTTTAATAATCTCTTTAAGGATCCAGGGAAACAGAGCAGCTGAACTTGTCAGAAACTGAAACTAGATTCTAGGATGAAGGTTTTGCATATATCTGAAGATCATGTTCTAGCGCCTCTAGGAGTGTTTCGTTGTATCTGCAGATTTATAAATTCAAAATAAATTGTGCATGCTGAAATCTAGCCTATTAAGTTTTCCTTGCACTTTCCTCTTTCTCTATGCCTCTTAAAGAGTTTGTTTGCCTCCACTGGTGTGGGGTTCTAGTTTTGTTGCTTGCAAGGATTTTTGATGGCAGCAGTGTGAGAATACATTTTCCTAGGAGTTTTCGAGTTTGTGGAATCTTAGGCTCTATATACTGCAAAAAAAAAAAAAAAAATCAAAAGGAAGGGAGCACAGGATGACTTCTAAAAATTAGTAGGGAGGTCACCAGCTGTGAAAGACAGTTAAAGATGTCTGTCAGGATGAGTTGGATCAGAGGACCGGTTAGATCTTTAGGCTACCAGCAAGCCTAAAAAATGCCTGTGTGCATATTGTTTAAGTAATCCAGGGCTCAAAGCCAAGGTGTTTCCTATCAGGATTTTACAACGCCCAAGTCCTAAACTTTGAACAAATTCAAATCTTTTCTGAAATAGGAAATGCAATATCTAGGGGGCAATGCAGAGCTATCCGATGGGACTCCTGTCCAATACATAGACTGGTCATGGCTCTGCCACTAACTTGTACTTAACTGCTTGGCACAGTTTCATTGAGAAGAGCTTACAAAAGTGAAGGTGGCCACTTTAGAATTCGCTAAACAGTAGATTAGAATCTCAGAAGATCAACTTCCTACTAAAAATGTTATTTGACCCTGAGACACCAAAGTTTCAACCTAATTTTGAAACTTAACATCCTTGATAAATGAGCCTGCTTTGACCCTTATGATGATGCTAGTTGAGGTTTATACTTTAAACTGAATATAACCAGTATGGCATCGCAGGGTAAGCACTCAACCATAAGGTCAGTTTGAATGGCATGGTTGGCAGTTCAAACTCACCAGCCACTCCTTGGAAACCCTTTACAGGGTTGCTATGAGTCAGAATCAACTTAAGGGCACTTAACAAAAACAATTTAGAATTTTAGTGATCACATTGAGAAAAATGAGTTTCCATTTGTATCTTTTCTTTCCCATAAAAAACTGTTTTATGTTTGTGTTGTAAGGTTAAGGAGAAGTTTGGTTCTGTTGGTTTAGTCTATTCTCTTGTAGACATTTGGTCTGAGACACGGGTTTTATTATTTTTTTGTGCACGTTGGCCAGGGTTGCTAGTCTTCTACTGAGACTAAAAGTTGGAGGGCCTGGTGGTATAGTGGTTAAGTACTTGGCTGCTAGCTAAAAAGCCAGTGGTTTGAGCCCACCAGCCACCTGTAGGAGAGGGATATGGTGGTCTGCTTCTGTGAGAGTTGCAGCACTGGACGTGGGTCGGCCCTGTCCTATAAGGTCAGTTGGAATCAATTCGATGGCAATGGGTTTGTCTGAGAAGCCAAACACTATACTTCACAGGAGGACAATGGAAGTTTCCAGCCTGTCTTGCAGAAACTATAATGAAAATCATTTTTTTTTAAAGTACACTCAAAAGAGAATTTGGTTATTTTGATTGGCATAGCAAAGCCTTAAAAGGAAATACATTATTATAAATTGCTCTCTCTAAAATCTTATGAAGAATGCAAAAGACATAATTATGAAACTAGAATTTTTACCTCAAGATGGTAATATTAATTAGATAATATTTCTTCAAGGAACTCACTCTGATTTGACTTAATGATAAACAAGTGCTTATATGAACTGGATATTGTCTTAATATTACAAAGAATTAATGAAATGCATTCATTTTGACATAGGTTTTTGTGTTTATGACAACTTTGAAAGCAAAATTTTTCCAAGTAATTTAAATGAGATATTATGGAATATGTTGTATTTAAGAAAAAGAGGTATTTTGTCTTAAAGTAAAACTGTTGTTGTTAAGTGCTGTTGAGCCAATTCCAACTCATAGTGACCCTGTATAAGGTTTCCCAGGAGCAAGTGGTGGTGTTTAACCTATAGCGCCATACCAGGACTCCAAAGTAAAATGGGGAAGGAGAGTCATAGGACAAGCCTGTTGTTATTAAGTGCTGTCAAATCAATTCCAACTCATAGCAACTCTGTACAGGGTTTCTAAGGAGCAGATGGTGGGTTTGAACTGCCGGCCTTTTAGTTAGCAGTCCAGTACTTATCCTACAGCCTAGAAGGGGAAAAAATGGTGAAAAGGCTTTCATTTTGTCTTTTTTTAAAAAACGGTTAACAATAAAAATAAAAAAAAAACAAACAACAACTAAGAGAACAATAAAAGAGAAAGAAATTAGTATGTCAACTTGGACATATGTAAATGAGCTAGGATGAGTTCTTGTTTCCCACCATGAGTCAAAAGGTATGGATGGAGGTCAACACAGAAATCAGGTGTCCTCTGCTTCAGTCTATAAGACGGTTTGTTGTCCAGGACTCCAAAGTAAAATGGGGAAGGAGAGTCATAGGACAAGCCTGTTGGTAAGTGCTGTCGAGTCAGTTCTGAATCATAGCGACCCCATGGAGAGTTTCCAAGGAGTAGCTGGTGGGTTTGAGCCACCAACATTGCAGTTGGCAGTCCAGTGCTTATCCTGTAGCACTTCAAGTTGTCCAACCATTCTCACCTTCCTTTTCTGAATTGCACCTTCCTGATAAGCATAAACTCACTGACCCCTAGGGTTCCTTTCTCATCTTTCAAGTTGCTGTTATCACTATGAACCCATATTTGTTGTTGTTAATAAGTGCTGGTGAGTCAGTTCCAGCTCATTGCAACCCTGTGTAGGACTTCTGAGAAATGGCTGGTGAATTTGAACCACTGACATTGCAGTTCAAACCAATATTGCAGTCTAGTGCTTATCCTACAGCGCCATGTGATGATTCTTTAAAAAGCAAGTTAGACCTTTTTGAATTAGTTGTACTAGTCTTGGTGTGGTGCTGTGGGATTAAGCACCAGACCAAAAGGCCAGTTTAAACCACAAGATCAGGGGTTTAAGTTCACCAGCCAATCTTGGAAACCCTATACAGGGTCACTTATGAGTCAGAACCGACTCGATGGCACTTAGCAACAACAAACTATTGTTTGGTTTGAAGAAGACTTTGGAGGATGTTTTTGGTTTAAGGTTTAAAGATTATTTAAGGGGTTCATCAGCCTTCATGGCTCCAGGAAGCCTAGTCTATAGGACTTTACATTTTTTTGTTCTGCAGTGTTCCCCACTTTGATCAGGACTCTTCTATGGAAACGTTGATCAAAATGTTCAGCAAAGATAACTGGGCATCATCCAGTTCTTGTCTCATGGTGTTGTGGAAATGCACCAAGAATTTGCACGTTCCTGGAATGATGCTGAATGTACCAGGACATCCGTCTGTTTGTGGCCTTGTTTACAGCTTTACCTCATGTTTTTGGTGACTGCATACACTTATGTAATGGCTGGCTATTTGCCTTTTTTGTTCTCCTGTTCATATACACCTTAAAAGATCTGGGATACCAAAATCACTACTCCATGAAATTCAAAAATCAAATGCTATGTGCATCAAAAGATTTCGCCAAAAGAGTAAAAAGGGATCCCACAGCCTGGGGAAAAGCACTTTTTGGCAATGACATATCAGACAAGGGACTAATATCTAAGATTTATAAAAAAACTACAACTGAAAAAACTAAAACCAAAAAACTATACAAGAAACAGATCAACAACCGAATTTTAAAGTGGGCACACACAGGACATCAACAGATACTTCACCAAGGAAAATATACAAGCAGCCAACAAGTATATGAAAAAATGTTCATGATCATTACTCATTGTTGTTGTTAAGTGTCGTTGTGTTGGTTCCAACCCATAGCAATCCTGTATAGGGTTTCCAAGGAGCAACTGGTGAGCCTGAACCTCCAACCTTGTGGTTCAAAACGACTTTGCAGTCCAGCGCATTAATCCATAGAACCACACTAGGACTTTGTTAGCCATTGCTGTTGTTCTTAAGTGCTGTCCAGTCGGTTCCAATCCATAGCAACCCTGTATAGGGTTTCTAAGGAGCGGCTGGTGAACTTGAACTGCTGACCTTGTTGTTCAAACCAAGTTTGCAGTCTAGCACATTAACCCACAGCGCCACACCAGGACTCCTGTAAGCCATTGTTATTGTGTTACATGCCGTTGAGTCAATTTCGACCCATAGTGACCCTGTATAGGGTTTCCAAGGAGCAACTGGTAAGCTTGCACCACCAACTGTGTGGCTCAAATGACAGCACCACACCAGGACTCCTCTTAGCCATTAGAGCGATGCAAATCAAAACAACAATGAGCTAGCCTCTTATATCAC